AAGTTTCCAATTGGGAAGAGTTTCTCCTTGTCTTCGCCCTCGCTGCGCTTCGAGATGGCTCTGACATACGCTGCCATGGCCCTGTTCAGACGCTCCATACCTAGGAAGCAAGTCGTTAGCATATCATTCTGGTAGTAAGTAGATAATGATAAAGACAGCCGGCCTACCTTCTTGCCTGAGGTTCATCTCCATCTCGAGCATCTTGAAGTCGTCCGAGACGTTGGTCTTGATCTCGCCCCCCATCCTCTCTCCTGCCCACTGCTTGAGACGGCCGAGTTTCTTGTTGACGTTCATGGTGATCCGGTATAGCGAGTGTCGTAGAGTAGAATAACAATATCAATAGCAGTGATAGCAGTGATAGCAGTAATAGCGAGAGTAGAAGAAGAAGAAGAGAAAAAAGAAGAGAAAGAATCAGAGCAGAAGAAGGGCTGCGTAATGAAGCAGAGCGAAAGTGGAACAAAAGTCAAACCAGCCTGCTGTCTCACCAAGAAGAAAAAGACGAAGAAGTCGAAGAAGATAAGAAATCAAGCCTGCTTTGCTTCTTCCGCTGCTGCTTCCGTTGCTGCTGCTTCACTGGTCTTTCTTTTCTTCCTGTGGCGACGGGAATAAGTAAATAAGTCAAGTGTTATGGAGCAGGCAAGAAGCAGGAATCCAGAGAACCAAGAGAGTCGACGGTGGACCAGCCAGCGCCTTTTCCTTTTTCCTCTGCTTAGTGTTAGTGACTGACTGACTCGCTTTGCTTCTCTGGCCGTTTTACTCGCTTCTCTCCTTCTGCTTCTTCCTGTCGTCTTCTTATAGACACCCGTAAGCGCGGTCCCATCTATCTAGACCCTCCATCTGTCGCTACCGTAACTTATTTAACTTCTCCTGCTGCGTATCCGTATATTTTCTTCTTCTGCTTCTTTTCTTCTTCCTCGCACCAAAGCTCGACCAACCAACCAACGTCGGCCTCACTTCAACCGCCGCCTCAAAACCACAGAAAAGCCTCCAACTTCACCTCGTCCACTCATCCATCCACTTGCTCTTCTCTTCTCTCTTCTCTCGTCTTTCTGTGACATCCATCCACATACCAGAGGACACGAACATGGAAAAACAGGATGCAAGGGCAGAAGATGTAGCGGGAGACGGCCAGGGGACGGCAGTGGTTGGTTGAGGGCTGTCTGTCTATCTGTCTGGATGAAACAGGAGAAGCCGCCAGGATGCAGCTAACCGCCCGCGTTGTCTTACAATACCTTCTCCCTCGCGATGCCAGACCTCCGCTGCCTCTGGAGTCCGTACGGAGTACTTATCGTTATGGCCAAGGTCTGGCCGCAGATGGAGATAGAGATGGAGATGGACCGCCGTGGCTCGACTCTAGGGATGGATACACACTAATTGCCTACTGGCTCAAAAGATGCAGTGATCATCAGAGGTTAAAGTGATGAAAAAAAAAAAAGAGAGAGATGAGAGGTTTGCGGGTCATTACTTTCTATTAGTTATACTGATGCTAATGTATAGGCTCATTAATACATTTTCCAAACGAGGCTTTTTCAAAGGAGTGAAAAGATAAGGGGGAAAAAAAGGGTGAACAAAAACCGAACCGTTGCCAGTCCAAAAAAAAAACAACCGAGAGAATCATGTTTGCCATTTGCCGGTCATAATAATATACCCCTTTCACACCCCGCCATTCCCATTAACCAACCACATAAAACAAACTCCATTCTCTAAGACGACTCGCCGAAAAAGGGGAAATGAAAGAAAAAAGTGCTTTACGACCTGGCACAGTGGTCGAGGCTGGTGTAGTCTGGCGGGAGCAGGACTTGACTATCCAGCCAGTCGGTGTCGTCTGGCAGTAAGGGTGGCCAGGAACCAGCAAGGCCGGTGTATGAATCGAACATTAACGGTGAGTCTGTTGGCGAGATGGACTGCTGGGAATACAGGGAGGGAACAGAAGTCGGACTTGGAGTGGGATGGGCGAAGGTGTCGGCGGGACTGTGTCCGGTAGTGTTGTTGGTGCTGCTATTTGTGGTGGTGGTGACGGTGGGGGGGTTCATGGGAGAGAAGTCGATGGGTTCGGCCATGTACTGGGCGAAGTTGATGTTCGAAGCGGAGTTTGGGTCGAGAGTGAGCATGGAGTGGACGCCATTGAGGGCGCTGGGGTCAAAGGAGTGAGATGCGGTCGTCTGCGGCATGCAGATACCACCGACAGGGGACGATGAGGTGACAGCAGCAGTGGAGGAAGGAGTTGTGGTTGGTGGACGAGAGAAATTTATATGCTGCTGCTGGTGATGATGATGATGATGGTGTTGCTGTTGTTGCTGTCTTGGATCCGAGGCAGCGGCTAACATGAGATCAAATTCGTTCCAGTTGATCGGACCCACGACCTGCGGCTAAGTGGTGGTGGTTGTTGTTGTTTCGGTCGATGTCACACTCGCCAAGAGTAGTCTGGACCTGCGGCTTTGAAGACGATGATGGTGATGACGATGATACGGCATTATTACTGTCCTGCACGGGACTGCTCATGCCGACAAGCGCGGCAAGATGTGGTGGCGGCCAGCATACCCTCGCATTGATACCACTTGGGACCATGACTTTACCCAACGACTTCCGCTCCATCAGCTCCCTCGCAAACTTGCCCGGTGTGACGCCAACGACCTTCTTGAAGACGCGGTGGAAGTGGCTGGGCGTCAGGCCGGCTTCTCCAGAGAGATCTGACAGGGTCGGCCGCTGCTTGTCTCCGCCAGCCAGGGCAGCCAGCGTCATGGTCTCGCACGCCCGCTGAGCAAGCCTGATGTGCGGATCTGTGGGCGCGCGCACGTCCTCTGGCTTACACCGCTTGCAGGGCCTGTATCCGGCCTTCTCAGCCAGGGTGGGAGTGTCGTAGAACTCGACGTTGGCACGGCGGGCGAGACGGGCAGGACAACGGGGACGGCAGTATATCTTGGTCGTCCGCACCCCGTATACGAAACCCGTGGCTGCGGCGTCTCTGTTAACGATTGCGCGCCACCGGGCAGAGGTCGAGGAGTAGTCGATCTTGTTGTTATCTGATTCGGCCGTCATTGTGGTGGTAGAGACGGCGAGTGTCTTGGATGATAAGAAGCGAATATAAAAGTAAAAGTGAGGGAGCGAGAAAGATCCTTAGGACTAGGACTTTATGCGAGACTTGGCTCTGCAAGAAGAGGAGGGGAGAGAAGAGATAAGGGAGAGAGAGAAGAGAGGGGGAAGGGGAGGAGGATCGAGATGTGGAAGGAGCCGGTGTTTCTATAGGAGCAGTCTTGTGTCTATATCCATCACTCTTGTATGTTTATAGGCGGTTATCTCTGCCTGAGTCTTGGGCCCTTCTTTTTTTCCTCGTGGCGGCTCTTTTCTTAGTCAGTCAGCACAGCAGATATGAAATAAGCAGTATTTTCTCGCTGCTTGGTTGACGTCGTCGTAGTCTTCGTCTGATTCTTCTGCTGCGTCTTGTCTCTGCGTCTGAATCTCGTATCTCTGCGTCTAGCTGCGTCTCGCCGTATGGTGAGTATGTGCGAGCGGCCGGCGACTTGGTTGTTATATAGCTCTTCGCTCTTTCGGGCGCGAGTGACGGAAGAGAGCGCAGGGCAAGGGCGCGGTCCCGTGATTGGCCAGTTTGGGAGCAAGACGGGGACGCTAGGCCGCTTGGGGAGTGGCCTCCTGCACGTGATGAGTAAAAACACGTGATGATGTCATGGTCATGTGACGTGATGGCGCCAAGGCCAGAGACGGTGCAAGAGCCGGAAGAGGAAAGTAGAAGGAGAAGGAGATAGTAGATAGAAGAGTAGAGAAGAGGACATAGAAGAGTAGATAGAAGAGTAGATGGTAGAAGAAGAGAGAGTAGACGGTAGATAGAGAGAGTGAGAGAGAGACTACGAGGAGACTGAAGTAGAAGTTTTATTTTATTCTTCCGTACATCATTATGAAAAAAAGACCCACGCCCAGCCCATTAACTCTAGTCCTTGGTCTTCTGGGTACCGCGCAGCAAACCGGTTCGGCGGGCGGCAATAAGACCGGCTTTTTGACCCTGTACGGCATATCGGGAGATGGTCGAGGCTTTACCGATGTGTTGATGGTTACCACCACCGTGAGGCTAGCAGGCAGTCAGCATAAAGTGCATAATAATAAAATATATGCACGGCCGTTGGGATACTTACATGGTCGACTGGGTTCATGGCAACACCACGGGTCTTGGGCCACGAGTTGCGCTTGGCAGCGAACTTGTGCTTAGCACGAGAAGCCTCTGCACAACCACAATAGTTAGTATCACCTCTATCAACTCAATTGGACACAAAAAACATGGCATAAAAAGCCGGATGTGAAAAGAAAAAGAGAGGGAGACGTACTCAGGAGAGGCTTGTCTGTACGGCCACCACCGGCAACAATTCCAACCATTCCTCTGACTCTGCTCTTGACGACCTTCTTGGCTCCACTGGGCATCTTGATGCGTGTCTTGCCCTCCTCAGGGTTGTGTCCGATGACAGTAACGTAGTTTCCAGACGTCCTGCCGAGCGCACCTCTGTCACCAACCTTCTCCTCCACGTTCGTCACGACGGTACCTTCGGGCACGGAGCCGAGAGGGAGGATGTTGCCGATGTTGAGGGAAGCGTGCTTGCCAGCGTAGATGAACTGGCCGGTGTACATGCCTTCGTTGGCAATGAAGGTCTCGGTCACTTCCTTGAACTTGTATGGGTGGCGGAAAGAGACCTGGGCCAGGGGAGCTCCTCGGCCGCTGTCGTGGATGATCTTCTTCACGACACCGCGGGTGTAGCCATGGCGTTCAGCATAGTCGAGGGTTCGGAACTGAGCTGGGGCCTTGTTGAGACGGGTGCGAGCCGCTGTTCACATAAGGTCACTACATTAGCATTCTTCTTCGTCTTCTCTCTCAATTCTTCAGCTTCCCCATGCGCTATTCGTGCGTCCGTCGAGTCTGTCGTCCTCCTCCCCTTTCTGCTAAAGATGGAAAATATGTGCTGGAGGTCAACGTACTGAAGATAGATCCACGACCCTTCCTCTGATTGCGGATCACGCGACCCATGATTACTGCAGAGACGGTTAGCTGGTGTCTTCTCGGTGCTCTGTCTTCTCAGTGAATCTCTGGCGTCAACGTCAAAGGAGCGAGGCGGTGGTCGTACCTTATCGCGAAGTTGTCGGCTTGGTCGTGGAAAAGTTGGACTTCGAGATGCAAAAAATGTTCGCTAGTTGTGTGGTTGCTTCGTTGTGGGAGTCGCTAAGCTAGCCGCTTTTGGGTTGCTGACTAAGCTCGGCAACCTTCGAACTTTTTTTTTGTTTTCTTTTCCCAACGTCAACATCAGAACATCCCGAACATCAAAGCATCAGAGCATCAAAGCCACCGACAGGCTAAGACGACGGACGGCGATGGGCGGCGGACGAGGTGAAGGCGACGGGCTCGAGGGCGACGACGAGGGCCGAGAGAGGCGATGATCGATAGACTGCCAAGTGCAGCGAGTGACTCACGTTGCCACCAAGTTCTTCTCGGAGTCCGCGGACGATGGCTCGCTTGGACGTACAGAGACTCCCCCGAACAGCCATATCTCTTCATGCAGGATGAACGCCTCATAGACGATGTCCCTATAGCTACCGGTCTGGCCTCTTGTTCGGCTCTTGATAGCCTCGGATCTGTTTATCGCGGCTGCCGGGTGTTCTAAGGCCGCTCTTACCACTTGGTCTACTATTGTTCCAAGCATACGTTCATCTGCAGTGACTATGACGTTTACTACAGTGTATTTCTTGTGTTGTTCTTGCTATTGACTCTTTTGGCACAGTGAAGTGACTTCTGTCCGCTTTGTTGTCTCTCATGAGCAGGACTATAGACGTGAATAGAATGTTTTGGTGAATAGCTGGATTCAAGTTGGACTCTTTCACTGCTTAGCAGGACATGTTACATATATTTAGAAGATGATCAGAAGAGCCCCTTTTTTTACTCTCTCTCTTTCTCTCTTTCTCCTGGTTAACCGTTCTTCTCTGTCCTACTTTGGCCCTATCTCATACTATCTACCGTCTACAGCTACGAAGAAAACCAATCTATTTACCATACACACCACATATCAGCATATGAACTGCTTCAGGGCACTTGACCTGGCTCGAGACTCGCTGATACGTTGAGCAGGCGACTCGAGGCTGAAGCTTTTTTCTGCTTACCTACGACCCAAAGCTAGCTGTCTGGTTGGCATCTTATTTTATCTTATCTCTGCCAAAGGCGTGCTCCCGTCCATCAAATACTTCTTTGAACCAACAACAACCAAAACCTACACCACCGCCTCAGCCATCTGCAACTGCATCGCCAGGCTTCGATTCTGCGCGCAGACTTCGCTATGTCGGATTCCGACTCTTCTTCGTCCTTGTCCTCGGTCGTTTCGACGGCTGACGAGTCCATCGCGGAATCCGTCAACCGCAGCGCGGGAATCACCAAATATTTCAAAAAGGCTGCGAAACCGGCTGCACCTCCACCACCATCTCCAAAACGGCCTCCGTCGCCTCCTCATGAATATGTCCTTGCTGATAATCCTAATATTGCCGTGAGTTATTATTTTATTCCTTCTTCGCATTGTACGGAACTGTAGATATTTTCTATATATATCGTTGAGGCAAGAGCGTGACGCGCCTGCTTATAGTGCTTTGACGCGAAAACTCATAGCTAACATTTCCGCTCCTTAGTTCCTGGTGATGTTTCGCTCGAGATTCACTGATGTCTTCCCCAAGTCGCTACCGCATTACGGACCGCAGGATATAGAAAAGGGCGTAGTTGAGCCCACGCCGGGTGACCAGGTCGAGCGGCTGCTTTGTGCCCTGCTCAGTCTAGTACTTAACCGGAAGAAAGACGTCGAGTACGATCTCCTTACTCCATTTTACAATTCTATTGATGCCGGTGCTCTGGGAAGATGCGCGAGCTTTGGTTATAGTGAATGCGCGCTACTTAAATTACAGCCTGCTAACTCGGTTTTTGGTCTCGTATAGGAGAGGTCACTACCAGCGCGCCCTCGAGGAAGCTATACAAATACATCAGTCGCAGTGGCCAAAGGCATGGCAGGGGAAGAGTCCTCTTGCAAATGGAGGTGGATATATGACGATGACTCCGGAGGAAAGGGTAAGGCACATCAATGGGATCGAATCCGTCCTACACATGGGCATTTATTGATAACCTCCTTACCAGATCCAATTGCTTTCGACATTGACCCTTTGGGCCCTCTCCTCCTCCGAATCCATCCAGGCGAAGCTCAAAGAATGCTACAAACAATCCAGACACGAGGGTGATAAGAACCAACCATTGTCCGTCCAGCCTTGGGGATCAGATACTCTTAAGAGGCGATACTGGCTCATCGAAGGCTTGGACGACACACACTTCCGACTCTACCGAGAAAGCAACCCAGCACTGAAGACAAATACCTGGTGGAGTGTTGCTGGCACAATACCAGAACTACGAACTGTCGCTGAATCTCTAGCAACGGAGAAGTCCCGAGCATCTCGAGAGTTAAGCCAGAAAATACTCAACAGCATCCCACGGTTTGAGAACTCAGAAGAAGTAAGCCGCAGCCTGAATGATGCCCTTTCTCTCTCGTTATATTGTCTAGTTCTAACAACTATTTTAAGAAACGCAAACGACGGGACTACCGAATCGCACGGAAAGCTGCATTTGCCCGGCCTGAACCTGGCTTCTCTCTCTACGAGGGTCGCACTCGCGGGAAGAGAATTAAGTACACATTCTCTGATGACGACGATTTCTCATCGGGGGCCTACCCGTCCAGAAGGTCTACCCGCAATCAGTCACGCGCTTCATCGCCCCGAGAGAATGCTGGTCCTACCTTCACTGCTTCTGGCCGCCAGGTCAAGTCTAGAGTAGGTGGCATTTACGGTCAGACGGTCCTTGGCAAACGGTCACTCGATGTTACTGACGACGAGCCATCGAACAACCCTGCGGGCGGGGAAGATGGTGCGCAATATGGCAGGTCTCGGAGAAGCAGACGTGACCTCCAAACCAATGGATGGGACGGCCTAACTCCCAGTGACGAAGATAATAACACAGAAGGAGACGATGAGGCCTCGAGCGGGAACGAGTGGGACGAGGATGCTGCCGACGACGAAGACGAGGACGAAGCTGGACTAAGCGACGCAGACTCATTTACAGCAGATCTACAACTGGACAGAAACAGAAGTTTGATTGTCAAACTGAAATATGGTAAAGAGAATGCGGCTAAGACACCTCAACCAGTGCCTGAGCAGGCTGGATCGTTAAAGCAAGAACCGCTGCACAATGGCAATCCTCCTATGACAATGCCAACAGAGACGCCTATAAATGGCTCTATCATCAATGCGCCCAGTGAGCCAGCAAAGGAGCGCCCTATAGCTGTTGAGATGCCGCCCAAGCCAGAATTCAAGAAGGACAGCCCTGCCTTACCACCAGCTACTTATACCCCTACTATCCCTGAAAAGCAAGAGACCCAAGTCCAACCACCTTCATATAACGGAGTTGTCTAATATTAGCCATAGCACTCTGTTTTAACACCTGGGTTTGTTCTAATACAACCTGCTTGCCTAGTTAATATCTCTACTATGATCAACTATTTAACTAGGCAACATTTATGTTCAAAAAATAATTGTTATTTACCATACATATGGAAGGAAGTAAGGCAGACTATTCTAGCCATTATCCTTACCTGACTCTACTGCACTCTCTGTGTAGATGGCGTCTGTTTCATCTAGTGTTATGCATAATATTACACTTAATTATTTGTGCTCGCCCTTTGTCTACATAAAAGAATATTGTATCGACTTATAATGCTGCTGCAGCTAAGCAAATATATGTATCAACATGGTATCCCAACCAGGTAACGCCTAACATCCAATCCATAGCTAAAACCAAAAGTAGAGACTGTTACTTTACAATCGCAGCTCCGGCATCTTCCCGTTCGTCAACTTGAACCATAGCTGGCGTAAAGTCAGGCCGGTTGCTCTCCCGCTAGCCCGAGCTCCGCGAGTCCAATGCCGCCATCCAGACAGCGCAAGCGTCCATAATGTCCCTTGCAGGAGAGGTAATATCATCTATACCAGTGAGCATGAGTCGGTTTACGTCTTCTAACGGCGAACATCATATGAAAAAGGCATATCCATACCTGATCTCTAAGTGTAATCCAAGCAACATGCTGCCAGCTCGTAGCCTTTGAGATACTCGCAAGATAGCTCTGTTGAAATCGCAGGTCTGGAATAGGAGGTAGCGCCGGGCGTTTTCGTCTCTCTTCTATGATTGCCCGTTCTGGATTCACGACATCCGTAGAGATGCTTGCAGTGTCCGAGTCGAGTCCGTCAAGGCCGTCAAGATGGTGTTGAGCTGTCGGTCCAAACCCATGGGATCGCTGACCGTATATCGATGCAGCTTGGATGTTATCCGCTATCCGCGCCGAGACGTCTTCCATTGTATCTTCGGCTCGTGTTATATCGGCGCTCCGGAGCGTGATGGACGTAGAAGTAAGCTGCCTGCCTGTTCGTTTATTCGGCGTTGTTGATACCAGAACGAACTTGCGTCGGAGTTTCTGCTGGCGGTTTTTGGCGTGTTTGTCATGTTTGCTTTTTCCAACCTTTTCTCGCAGGATTAACACTAGGAAAACACTAAGCACATCCTCCTCGTCCCCCACTATATAATCACTAGAGACATCCCGCCGAACAATCCTCCGACTCTTCCTCAGGACAAACTACTTTCCGATTTTCTTCACGATGGCTGCTGCTCAGGGTTACCCGCTTCTCTGTCTCGAGAACCCCCTCTTGGGTTTGTCTGCCTCTCAATTGTTGTTGCTGGAGTTGCTGCTAACAGTGTGGTTCTAGATATCCAGGGAGAGGGGTACGTGCATCTACGAAGAGTGGAAGTCCCCCTTGCGGTCGATTCGTCATTGTTAACTTATATATCCTCTTGGTAGAGACCAGTCGACTCTTGATAAGTATGAAGTCAAGGCAAACGATGCCATTCTCGCTGAGGAGAAGCACATGGGCCTCTACGAGGACTTGATGCAGAACCACAACGCAAAGCTCATCCCTGGAGGAGCTGCTCAGAACACTGCTCGTGGAGCTCAGGTATGAACCTTTTCAACGTTCTAAGACAGTGGGATGGTCTCTTAAATGGCATTGTGAAGCTTATTCTTGTGCTATAGTATATCCTCCCTGAGAACTCCGTCCTCTACATTGGCTGTGTTGGCAAAGACAAGTATGCCGATATCCTCCGAGAATCCTGCGCAAAGGCTGGTCTCCGAGTCGAGTACCGTGTAGATGATGTCCAGCCTACCGGTCGATGCGGTGTCATCATCACTGGTCACAACAGATGCTTGGTTACCCACTTGGCTGCTGCCAACGAGTACAAGCTTGACCACCTTAAGCAGCCCCAGATCTGGGACCTCGTTGAAAAGGCTCAGTTCTACTTCGTCGGTGGCTACCATCTGACTGTCTGTGTCCCAGCTATTCTTGCCCTCGCCGAGGAGGCTGCTTCTAAGAACAAGGTACTTATCTCTCGCTCGGATTCTTCCCGAAAGGGGTAATGGAGAGCTATAGAACTAATATGTAACCTAGACCTTCATGCTCTCCCTTTCCGCTCCATTCATCCCAGCTTTCTTCAAGGACCAGCTTGCTCAGGTTCTCCCATACACCGACTTCATCGTCGGAAATGAGACCGAGGCCCTCTCCTTCGCTAAGTCCCAGGACTGGAACACTGAGGAACTTGCTGAAATTGCTGAAAAGATGGCCAAGCTTCCAAAGACCAACAGCAAGCGTGCCAGAACCGTCATTATCACCCACGGAACTGAACCAACTATTTCTGCCGTCTCCGACACTGATGGTGCAGTCAACATTACTAAGACCCCTATCCGCAAGATCCTCAAGGAAGAAATCTGCGACACTAACGGAGCTGGGTAAGCTGTTGTCCTATGTGTCTTGAGATCATTTTAGCTAACGCTCTAAAAGTGATGCCTTCGCCGGTGGTTTCTGTGCCGGTGTCGTCCAGGGAAAGACTGTTCCCGAGTGTGTTGAGATGGGACACTGGCTCGCCAACTTGAGCATTCGCGAACTGGGTCCATCGTAAGTTACCTACTCTTAGAAAACGGCTTTGGATGTGATCATCTACTAAACATGGCAAATAGTTACCCATTCCCAAAACAAACCTTCACCCAATAAATTAATCACCCACTTTGCATTCGCCTAGGCTCAACCCTGTGCACCGAAACAAACGGGTATCAGGTTTCTTTAGAAAAGAATAGTGTAATTTCATAACTGGGTCCTACTAACTTGGATCAACTCCCTTCATTTGCTCCAGTCACAAGCAAACCGAACCATACATACCCCCTTTCGACTAAATACCTACCAACTACCTACATGACTCAACAGCTACGAGGCTGAGCTTAACCAGGCCCCCTTATGAGGGTAGAACCAGGCTTTGATGATAAGCTGAGGACAACTTTGATGATATTGCTATGAGAGAAAAAAACGTAGAATAAGAATTAGTTACAGACACGTTTTCAACAACGAATGGAATATACATGAGATCAGTTGACTTCATTATTGTGCATGGGCTCATCATTGAAATTGAATTGCAATCTTCGATCGAAACATGGCAAGAAATATTTTTTGGGGGAAATAAAGGGCATTTAGCATTGAAAGTGATATCTGGATGATAGAAGATCAGAGCATCACTCGGGAGAGGAAGAGAAGGAAGGCTTCCAAGTCCACTTATTTCCCACTTTGAATCCATTTTGAGGCATGTGTCAACTGGGCAAGGATGCAGAGTAATCCTCTACAATGAAGGATTGAAGGGTAGTACCGCACAAAGCAGTTGTTACTTTCCTAATTCCTCCCGAAGATATATCCTTCCTGATGATTCAAGTACCGACTGAGTAGCTCATTGCTTTCTCGGAAGTGAGACGATATGCAAAGCCAACAATCGCGGGTAGACGTTTGTCTAATGTCCCTGACAATCATGAGGTGTATCGCAAGTGCATTTCATGTTAAGCCTTGTAGAAAGGTATTTCAATGGGGTTTTGTGGCTGCAAAGGGAGTGAGCCAGGCCATATAGTTATCATCCTCCTTGTCCGTGTTGTCGTGTTTGCTCGCCAATGACTCCAGTATAATTTAGGGCTAGTTCGCGGTTTCCTCCATATAGCATACCGCCGGAAAATGAAGATGAGCCGAATAGCTGACGCGGTTGATATTGGCCAAAACTGGTGACATACTCGCTCGGCTGGCCACCAAAGGGAGTTGCGCCAATATGGCTGATTGCGTTACTAAGGCGTGGGGTCTGCAGGTGTGAAAGGCTGCTAGAAAACTCATCCGTGGAGCAGGATAGAGAAGAGTTTGGTTGTTGAAATGCCGGTGAACCATAAGAACTAGGGAAGGGGGGGACATTATTCCCACCAACTGGTAGTACCTGAGGGGAAGCGCTAGGTATGGCAGTAGAGGGACGGCTGGTTGGAGACATCGCCTCACCCGGCTGCGGTGCAAACGCGGTGTTCATGATACTTGGAAGCGGTGGACCAGGAGAATAAGACTGGAAATGATATGATCCTTGGGCTCCTGGGATTGCGCTTTCGAACCCTTGACGGACAATGCTCCGGCGGTGGTTCGAATCGACAGTGGCATAGTATGATGGTGCGTTATCGCCGTCAGTTAAACTCTCGGCAGGCTCTGACTCGACCAGGTTATCGACCATTCGATGCATTGAGACCGAGCCTGATATAGATGCACCGTCCTCCAAAGCACTCGAAGAAGGCGCTGGCTTCTGTATTTCATCTCGGTCAATGCTAGTGGAAGAAAGAGTATGGCCATGACCACGGGGTTGGCTGCGAGAGCTTGAAAACTGCGGAAGACCTTCCTCCTTGTAAACGAACAGCCTTGCATCCTCCTTATTTACCATGGCTATCGGAATTCTCTCATTGCGTTCGAGGTCAAGGCCATCAATCACGAACTGACGGATTCGAAACAACATCTCTATATCATTAGACGTTGCTTTTTCAGTATGTTGTTGTCTACGTTTCGTCGCTCCGGGAGGTCCATAGCGTCGCATGGTATTGGGATGAGCAAATGGTTTGAACCCAAGGGTATTCTCATCTTCTTCAAGGAGGTATTCAACATCAGGCAAGTTGATAATGTCGAAGGTGGAGGTGAGGAGGGTCAACGTATTGGCATAACTCTTCCAAAGCTCCTTTACCTGTATGCACAGTGGACTATCTTTAGTTTCAGGGGCAGATACCAATACCGAGCTATTGACAAGCAACCAGCTGCTATAGTGACGTAAAGCTGGAAGAATTGAGTGTGCGACCGAGGTGACTTTGTCCGCAGAACATTCGAGTTCGGCTAGGAAAACCTGAAGAAGGGTGAAAAAAAACTTGACATTCAACCTTCGTAGGAACACTTGAGCACTGGTGTCCTTTGCATGAGTTTCGGAGGCGATATTGATGAGGGCAAATTTCTCCAAAAGGGGCCGCTCAAGAACGTTCTCTTTCAAATCAACAGTGACCTGGCGCATTATCTCATTCTCACGTTCTTCATGTTCAGGAGAGTCCCCCTGATAGCATTGGGCATGTAGGAATAAGAAGGCACCGACCAATACTGCCTGGGGATCATTGGCTATTGCTGATAATTCCGCCTTTTTCTTCCCCACTAGGATCTTCTTGAATTCTTTGGTGAGGTTCTTATGGGCATTAGGATGCGGCTCTTGTGCGGAAAGGGCTCGGTACAAGTAATATACCGCATCCAAATGCTGCTCTTCAGCAAGCGCAATGACGGCAAATTGATTGAACGGGTTTCCAGAGTTCGGATTCACCAGAGAGGCCATCAGATAGTTCTTTGTAGCGCGCTCCCAGTTCTTCTTCTGCTGATCCACTAGCTCAGTTTGATAGTAACGTCCGAGATCTCCAAGCCTGATAAGCGTAGCATGGCACGATGAAAGCATCACACTCTTTAGCTGAGAGTCCAGAGCACCGGCAGGGTCCCGGGAGTCCTCCTTTTCAAATGTATACCCCTTCCTTCTCGCAACTTCTTCGAATTGTGGGATATGATAGGCCTTAAAATCGTCCAGGAGGTGGTAGATGTATTTCTCGTAGAACTCCTGGCTGGACTTGATAAACTTGGAGTATCGGTTGATAAGTTTGCGCTTCTCAACAGGTCGCTTTTTGCCCCTTTTCTCATCTTCTTGGATATTTGACAGCCACTTCCGAAACCGGCCATTGATTTCCAGATGCGCATCCCAAAGACCGCCTTCAAGTTTCAGCGCATCCATCGGATTGCGAGCCTCCACTCCATCGGGGCGTCTAACGGCTCCACCATCGTTATGGGCGTCTCTAAAATTCCTTCTCCCTTCCGTGAAGATCTGGAAGATAGAAATCTGGCCTGAAACTCGGGTTTCTGCCAATAGCCGCTCAACTTCAGCAAATGTCGGCTCTTTCTCCTTCAGGGCGCAAATCAGCTTTGTCTTGCACCGTTCGAAGGTTTCCTCTGCGTTCAAATGACCGGCTCCATTGTGAATCACCGACGTGGCCATCCTTCAGCCGCCTCAGTTGGACAGAACAAGCGTAACGGCACGCCGAGCGCTCTGGAGTCAGGTTACCCCAGGTCGTTAGGCGGTCGAATTCGGGTGTGCTGAAGCCTGCGCGATGCGTTTCGGAGGGGGCGGAGGGCATAAGTTGGAACAACGACGGTGACGGCACCCACAGAGATTTTCCTGCTAGAAGTCCATCTGAGATCACAGGTGTCCTAGGCTACTTGGCCACAGACTCGCCAGTCTGTGATACCAAATAGTGAAGGAGGATAAAAAAGATTCCTTTCGGCCTCGAAAATGCGACCACTTTTTTTGGTGACTATTTTTTGTATCACGTGATGCGGCCTGGACGCCGGAGGATACTTTCGCTGGTTGAGACTATCGTTTGATATTGATTTATTGATCTTTGGGACAAATCTTATATTTTGGAAAAGGCCAGCATTGGTACGTGTGCGTATATAAAATGGCTACGGATATTGTTATGTCCTTGACAGTTAGATATTTATGCCTCCAAATAGAAAAGTACACCCTCACAAACGTCCCTTGAGGGCACCAAATCCGTTAGCATTCAACAACCTGTCAGACTCTGCCCTCTGAGCCTTGATCTTAGCCATAGTGGAATCCTTCCTTTGTCTGTTCTCACGCTTGCCCATTTGCTGGAGATGGACCTCGTCTGGGCCATCAGCGATTCTAAGCGTGCGGATGTTTGCCCACATACTGGCAAGGGGTGTATCCTGGCACACTCCCATAGCACCGTGAGCCTGCACAGCACGATCAATAACAGAGAGAGCTACCTGAGGTGCAAGGACCTTTGCCTCAGCTATCTCCTTGAGTGCAGCCTTGGCGTCAGCGCTGTCGATGCGAGCAGCAGCGTTAAGAACAATCAGACGAGCAGAGTCAATCTCAAGGCGTGATCTGGCAATCCATTCAAGGATGACACCGTGAGAAGAGAGCGGAGTGCCGAATGGCTTCTTATTTTCGTCGTTGGCACGAGCAATCATCCACTCCAGGGCTCGTTCAGCTGCGCCAAGTGCACGCATAGCATGATGGATACGTCCGGGTCCCAGACGGCCTTGGATGATTTCGAAGCCACGGCCTTCTCCTAGGATAATGTTGGAGACAGGTACACGGACATTCTTGAAAGAAACCTGTCCATGGCCGTGAGGAGCATCATCAAAGCCATAGACATGCAGCATTCTGTGGATGGTGACACCTGGGGTTCCGGCAGGAACTAGAATGACCGACTGCTGCTTGTATGGATCTGTGTTGTTGGGATCGGTCTTTCCCATAACAAGATACAGCTTGCATCTTGGATCACCGACACCAGAGGACCACCATTTCTGTAAAGAAAATTAGTCAATGTTGGTGTACAGATTTCCGTATACATAGAGTTGGCCGCCTACCTCTCCGTTCAGGACATATTCATTGCCCTCACGCCGGATGTTAAGTCGGATATTTGTAGCATCACTCGATGCAATATCTGGCTCGGTCATCAAGAAACCAGAGCGTATCTTTCCTTCTAGCAGAGGGTCGAGCCATTCTCTCTTTTGAGCCTCGTTTCCATACTTGGCCAAAACCTCCATGTTACCAGTATCAGGAGCAGCATTATTTGTAGCCTAGATAAATATCACATCTCCACATTAGACACTTACAGCGCATCAAACAAATTATATGGGGAAATATTGTCGTACCTCACTGGCAACTCGGCTCTTTCCGAGCAGCTCTGCCATCAATCCATATTCCACGTTGGTGAAGCCAGCACCCTCCTTGAAGTGGTTTTTTGGCAAGAACATATTCCATAGACCGAGTTTCTTCGCTTTATCCTTAAGCTCCTCTATGACTGGGGGATGCTTGGTGAATCTAGCCTGGCCTTCGCCCAGCTGAGCCTGGAAGAGGGTGTCTCTGGGGATACATTCTTTCTCAACGAATTCTTCAACCTAAGATCCCCCACAAGTTAGCAAACGGTCCCTATATATAATAAGATGCCTAGGAGGGACTCTTACAATGTCCAGGGTCTTTCTGGCGCGCTCGCTGACGAACGGCTGGATGAGAGAAGGGATTCTGGTGGAGGCCGCCATTGTACAATCGTTCGTCTGAAAGTAAATAAACCAAAGCTAGAGTCCTACACCTTGGTCATCAAGATCCTAAAAATAAGTTCCTTATATATATATATATATATATTCATCGCGGAGAAAAGTGGTAAGAGGAGAAGTCCTGCTCAAGCTCGGCTCCCGGGTCGATGTTCGTTTTCGCTGTAAACAGGTTGGGCGGAGTTGCCGATGGAGCTCTCCACGAGCCGAGGCTTAATTTTCAGCGCGACAAGGGGAACGTCAGGAGAGTATACAAGAGCTGCATATACATATTCGATCATACGATATCAGACATATACATCTATTAATTCTACGCTCATCTTACAAGGTAGTACTGACAATCGCAGACTAGCTTCTATATAGCTCCTAGCTGAGTATACCGGACCTTTGGCCTCAACCTCGGGCTCGGTTACTTAAGATGAGGAAATATATCATAGCTCTATAACAGTTATAGCTAGAAACAGGCGCCCATATCCCCAAGGTTGAACTAGAAGGGGCGATTTAAAAACGGATAGCTGGGCCAGCCATCGGTAGCTGACAAGGTTTGTTGTGATCTTGCCGATTTGATGCCTTGAAGGCAACAGCTTTATGGGCTTCCAGTCAGCTTGTATGGATGACTAGTACGAAGATAAGTAGTACCCGGAATAAACGCAAAGTGCAAACAGTTGAACATTGTAGTGTTGGTGACGAAACGTAATTGATCAGAAGGGCCTCTCGCGAACCTTTAGAAAAGTAAATGGCTGTACTCCGACGGCCATATGTGGTGTTGGACAGCAGATGCCAAGTCATCCTTAACTTCCGCAGTGGAAGTTTTGCAGAATCGTCATCCAAACCCAGATAGGAATCGTCGGTCAGGGCTGACATCCTCATGTGGCCTCAGCTTTGCATGGGAATCGGTGAAACGGTATTGGTGCGTACGATGCAAATGAAAATTACCCAAAGTATTTGGATGAAAGATATCCATTAGCCATCTATAAGACTCCCTTTGTACTGATAACTTCGCCTTCCTTCCCAGCGACTTTAGAAGTGGCCTCTCTAATAGCTACAGCCAAAGCTTTGAACGCAGCTTCCGCACGGTGGTGATCGTTTTCTCCCTTGAGCACGTCAACATGCAGAGTAACACCCGCTGTATGGGCAAAGCTCTGTAGACCATGGGGAATCATTTGGCTAGTAAGGTTGCCAATCTTTGCATCCTTGAAGTCAAATACGCCGACAAAGAAAGGGCGAGATGAAATATCAATGACAGCCCGTGCAAGAGCTTCATCTAGCGGGGCGTAGGCACTGCCAAATCGCTTGATACCCTTCCGGTCACCTAACGCCTTTGACAGAGCCTCTCCCAGAGCAAGGAAGGTATCCTCTGTTGTGTGATGGTCGTCGACTATTGCTATAGTTAGCACGCAGCCAGGCAACAGTAACCAACAAATACATCAAGTTACTCACTTGCTAGGTCACCAACGGTGCGGATTCGTAGACTCCATCCACCATGCTTAGCCAATGCATGAAGCATATGGTCTAGAAATCCAACTCCAGTCCATATCCAGATATGCTGTGATGCGGAGAATTGGCAAGCATGGTGCTCTTCCTTCTGATCGGGGATGCTCGATGACTCAAAGGCTTTGTGGCTGTTGGGTAGCACATCGAGTGGCCCGCCATCTATACACAGCGATATCTGCGTCTTGGTCTCTTTCGTGAATCTCTCCACATACGAACTGCGTAGGGCTGCCATGACTCTTAAGATATGGTACTGATATGAAATAATCTATCAACCAATTAACCGAGTAGATATATGCCAAGCCGTTATAGAGGACTATTTCTTCCCCAGACAAACTGTGGCAACCAAAAATTCCTAGTGCTGCAAGGATCGATTGCAAGCCTTCAAGTTCTTCGTGCTTTTTCTTCCTTTCCTTTTATGCGAAAGTTGAAGGTGGGCAGTTTGATGGTCACGTGTAAGTTGAATAAGCTAAATTTGGGCCAATGAAAGGCGCCAAATATCAAATTCAGCTCTGATTCATGATATCTAGCGAAAGCGGATAGATACAGTTCATAGAATAGATGGTGTTAGTGAAGAGGGATATGATAAAAATTCTCCTTCATAAGAGATGAACTATATGAGGAGTCCAAATAATCCGAGGGACATGCATCTTGTTTTGAAGCAATGACCGGTTCATTTAACGCCAACATAACACATAATTACAGAGGAAAGCGGCATAACAGAAAAAGGCATAAAGGTAGGCTGGGAACTACTAATACAATGGAATCGTTTAACGGCAATGGCAGGTCGTGAGAAAGGTAAGAGAAAGATGGTCCCGTCATCCAAATTAGACAGGTCCGCTATCCGCAGTGCCATCATCGTCAACAGCATTCTCAGTGCTCATCTTGTCGTAAGATTTCTTCCCTAGAGCCTTAGCAAAAAGCATCTGTGGTCGCCCAGCACTACCAGGTAAATAAGTGTCAGTACATATGCCATAACGAGAAGCATGAGCGGTTTTGACCGTGGACTTACTTCTTGAACTTCTTCCCCTTCAAGTTGCTCAGCTTCTTAGTGCAAGGACTCATAATACCATCTGATGGAGAGATAAAATGGCCAGATTGTCTGGTATGCGAATTAGCATGGGGTTGAGATACAGAGATCGTCAGCTAGGAGAACATCTAGAATACTTACTGTGAGTCACCCTCCATCTTCTCCTTGAGCACTTGTCTGTGGTATTCCATAGATTTGGTGGTGGCAGCTTTCAAGTCTGCTTCGCCCTCCTCAACAGGAGAGCTCTGCATGGCAAGATGGGTATTTGTAGGCCGGTCAGAAAGCGGCTGCTTAGAAGGGCTGCTGATGGATGCCATGATGATATGATAGCCTGGTGGTTTGGTTTCTTGAAGTGTTGGGGTATAGAGATGTATCGAGTACGGAGTATTATCGGTTTGAGGGAAATGTGTGTGTAGAGTGCGAGTATATGGCTGTAGAGCGAGGTTGTTTGTTTATCTCTGGAAAGACGCTTGCTTTATATATCGTATCCGTCAGCAACTATGCGTGATCTTCTTTGTTTACATCCACGGGACGTAAGAAAAGTTTTTCCACTTCGTTCTTTGCCTGAGGCAAAAAAGCATGTTAAACGACAACGGAGCAGGGAAGGATAGTGTAGTTTCTTTTCGCATGGAACCCGTGGAACCTGGATCAACTTTCGCATGGGGGATGGAGAGCCGTAGAACTGGTTACTTCTCTTATAGACTCACCTTTATTGGTTTTCTCTTTGCTTTTTTGACGGCTCTTTTGACAATTCTGCAAGTAATGCTTTACTTGTCGGTACTGTTTAACTGGCTCTGGAGTGAGTATGACGGTGAAGGATTCGTCTATTTTACTGAGGATTTTTATGTTGACGTTTTGCGGATAAGGTTGATAGGCGATAGTTTCCATGGCAACAGCCTTAAAAGCTGACCCAGCACGAACACGTAAGGCATAAAAGTCTAAACCTGGTCAATATCAAGGGGAGGCTCAGGGAGTCTAGATGGAGATTCGAAGATAATAAGATAATAGATGATACTATATGCCTTTGAAAAGATATATACGTTATGCTATCAAGAAGGATATAAGTAAAAATACATGCATCGTCTCTCCTTTGTGGATAAAAAAGGGACATAAAATACAATCGTCTTCTTGCTTCCAATAGTCATAAGGTGCTAGATGTCATAAATATCAGACTTGAAGAAATGGATAAAGTTGATTTCAAAGAACAATCGTGTTCGGTGTAATATAATCGACGATTGGTTGACGGGTTAAGTGAACGAATCGACTTCTGCCTGTTCAGCGTCTGATTCAGACTCGTGCTTCACCTCCACGCTCTTAACGGGGCGTTGCCTCAAGCTAAGGTCAGGATCACTCCCAGACGCAGGGCTACTAGTCGCGGAAGCAATGAGACCACTACGTGGTTCGGGTTCAGGAGAGAAAAGGCGTTTCCCGGTTCGATTTCGATCTGGCGTCGTGGCCCTAGAAGTTGGAGTAGGCGGGGAATATGTAAAGGTTGGATTCTCGCCTTCATAATCTGTTTGCTCTGAGGGACTGCGGAGATGTCGTGAGCGGCTGTGGTGCAAGCGGTGCTCATCTGTTTCACTCCTGCTCAGTAATGAGCCCATCCTGCTCATTGGCGGAGGGCTAGGGCTTGCAGATGGCGCTGGTGAGTCGTAAGCGACTGACGAAGAGCGAAAGCTGCGTGTGCGAGAGACTATGTTGCGTGGAAATTCAAAGTAAGGCGTGCCAGAGCTGCGGGAGAATAAGACTAGACCGAAACAAACGAGGACGAAAATGCTTTGGATGACGGCAACTCGTTTCTGAAATACGAGCTCGTCTGCAAGAACGCCTAGTTGGGCAGCAATTGAATATACTTCCCGGTGGTATTGTTGGCGCTGTTGCTCAAATTCTATGAAGACAGAGTGCCAAAGATGGTCATATTGTTGGCGGAACTCCTTCAATTCCTGCAGAACGGTAGAGTTAAGGTTCTCCAGAAAGGTAGATGTTTTCGCCAGCTGGCGTTTTTCGACTTTGTTAAAGGCATCACGGAGGATGCGAGATTGCTCTTCGATATAAAGGAGAGAAAGCGTGGAGTTTGTCTCAAGCATTTGCAAGCGCTTGTTGACTGATTTAAAGAAAGATTCTTGGGTCGATGGGTTGGGTGGTGGCGAGGAAGGGGGTGGAGTGTATGGCGCAGAGTTCATCTTAGCTGGCTCGGTATGCGACCCATTAGCCGTGACAGATGACCCTGTAGAGCTGCGGCGAGTCTCTTCTCTATCAGAAGCTGTAGATGCACGAGTTGAAGAGACGGAACGTATCTGCTCTAGGGTATTGATAGAGGTAATGGAACCGCTGGCAGGAGCAGCAGTCTCATCTTTCACGCGAGTAGCCATCACAGGCTGGCTTTCGGCATGAACAGCGCGTTCTTTGATGGCACACATCTTACCGGATACCAGTCCAAGTAAGATGCTCTCCGTCTCGTTTCTCTCCACGAAACATCTGAGCTCATTAAGCTCATGATCGGATAAATTGGACAGAGGAACCATCTGGTCGTCAATGTCCAGCGTAGGAATAGGGGCCTTCTCATGCACAACCACATCAGCCTGTTCCTGTTGTTGTTGCTGCTGCTCTGCCTCTTCCTGTGCATTTGCATCTTCCTCCTCATCTGCTCTCGCAGCTTCACCATCATTCTTATATTCCTCCATCATAGTCGTTCCATGCACTCTGACCAAACTGACTGGGCAATAGAATTCGTTCCCGTAATGAGACAAGAACTCGATCTTCAGATATCTCGCCCATATAAACGGATTCTCTACTGCAAAAGCCTGCACTTGCCTAGCATTGGCAGCCTCGTAGGTGCCCAACACCCTCCATTTGTCAGCCTTGATCGGATACCTGTCAGAAACACTGACTCTAAAAGACCGGAAGATGGAGCTGAAGAATTCATAGTTGGCCAACACCACTGTATCAACGAGTATATCATCGCATAACTCCATAATGAGGAATTTATCCTTGGCTCTGCACTCATTCAACATGTAGCTGTCTTTATTCTCGTTAAGCACAGCGGAAGAACCCGTGCATTGGCGGTTTGTTTTCAGGACTGTAGCGGCGCAGTCAAAAGATGCATAGTTGAAGCGTTCCTTGCATGTTGTTCCTGCATGTTTCCGCCGACCAATCCCCTTCCGCGGCATGTTCTCTGCATCCTGGCCGTCGAGCTCAAAGACCGGCTGGGAAGGGTTCTTGCCTTCCTTGCCTCCAATAGCACCACCGCGCGTAGCAACAGCATCCATATTATCCGCTGGAGCTTTTCCGCCGTCTTTCCTCTCCCACGAAGCAATCCCGGATTCGTCTGTAGAAAAGCCGCCAAATTCAAGATCAATTTCCGAGTCTTCTCCCAGTCCATCCAGCGGATCATTGATCTGCGATGACCGCGTATGCCGTCTTCGAGCTTGCTGTCCCTTATCCTGTCGATGCCTCCTCATGGTTTCAGCCGATTGTCCTGCCTTCGCAAGATTTTGATTCTTCCATTCTTCAAACGAGAGGAAGTTCGAAGTATCTAGCGGAGACTCAACGTCTGCATCATCCCCGCTACCACTACTCCTACTCTCTCCCGACTTTGAAGAACCAGCAGCAACCGTACCGCGAACCGGTACTATCACTGAGCCCGGAGAATCTCTCGCATCGGCATGTACACCACCCGCAGAACCAGTCATAGGCGGCCCCTCACCCCCCGCCGTAGCGGAAGAAGCTGTTGTTGCAGCAGCATTCCACCTAGTCTCCAAACATATCGGATACCGAATATATTCTGCTCCCAAGTCACCGCTCACATGCTCACAGATGGTATTCGACTTATCCACGGCCATCAACCGCGATGAATCCGCCACTGATTCCGCCGCCGCAGGGCCGGGAGCAGAACATACTGCCAAAAACGCCAGGAAGGCCGACGTTATTCGGTCCTGGCGCGAGCGTTTCCGCCAATGTGGCGAAAGTTGTCTGTTCATCGCGTCGGGCCGTGTCGTATAGTCTGAGGACAGCCTGCTCTCCTCTGTAGGTATGGGAAGTCGAGCTTCCTCCGTAAGGAACGTATGAATATAGATTCGTATATGGATGTATATCTGTGTGCCGAGGGAAGTTCGGGTATTCTCTTCGCTTTGTGCCTAAGAATCATGCCTGATAGATGGATACCGCCAGTCATGCGTTCGTTAGCCTGCCATCCTGCATCTGTCCAGCGCATACTGCTCCGTCATCCCGCATATACGTAAAGACATGGCTCACCTTCAATCCACTAACGCCATCGTGTTCAGCATTGACTTGTCCGGCTCTCGGGTTGTAGTGGCGATAGCAGAGAAAGCTCGAACATGACAGCTAGCCAGATAGACCGATAGATGTTCAGGAGAAGGAGAAAAATTCAGTTGACGTTGACCCCTGTGCCGTCCTTGTGCCGTGCGTGCCTGTGCCGGGCCTGTCTAGTTTGATCTGTTGGCCATAGACGTAAGGCGGATTTGGTCGTGCGTTTCCCGTGTTAGCTGTTGGCTTGAACCCCCGAACTGAACTGTCGGTGTGAGAAAAGAAATATATCGACGGGAACAATCAGCTGCATGCACTGAGGGAGTGACTGGTTGATGCCTGTCCTTGCATATCTGGCCTGATGATGCCGCATCGGTTGGTTGGCGGGCGAAAGTGAAAATAAGCTTGCTCGGAGCCGCGATTGCTAATAATAGGACATCGAACCGTGGTTGATACCAAAATCGACGTTTACGAGCGTTGAACTACGTGAACTACGTTGACTACGTTGACTACGAAGAGAAGAGATGGGAGACAAGTATTATCCTGGCATGGAAAGATCTTTCATTCAATCAATCAACCAATCAATCAATCTTATTTTATCGGCCTTCCCATCCATCCATCCGTCCATCCAAACCGGCCATCCGAACCGACCAAAGGCGAAGCACCAACCAAGTAAACTAAGCCATCCAGATATTCGCCAAAGAAAACACAAAAAACACCCACGTATCCTATCCTCATCTTGCTTCCCAACAGATCTAAGATAGATAGTACATTTGCTTCGCCACCGTCGTCTTCCTCTTTTTCTTTTCTTTTTCCGTAGAACAGAAGCAGAACAGAGACGCAAATTAAACAGAGTAGAGTAGGAAATGGAAATAGAACGATTTTGTTGTGCTCACAGGAAAGGGGTGGGGGTAGTATTGTTTCTTTTTGGGTGGATGATATTAGCGGTGCATGTTCATATGGATGTAAGGACTGATGGATAAGGAGTGACAAAATAAATAAAAAAGACCAAGGATTAAAAAGAACCAAAGATGATGAAAGTTGATTTTTTTTTCTCTTTCTTTCTTTTCCATGGTTTGCTTGCTTGATGTTAACAACCTCCTGCAAAGCAAAGCCTAGTTGAGTTCCCTTCCACTTCTTCACTGGCCCATCTACACTCCTCCGAAGAGAAGGACAGTAGGGGGAGAAGAAGTGGCTGCCGGCACAAAGTCGAATGCGCCGACACGAACCTTCGTCTTTTTCTTTCTCACATGTAGAGAGAGGGTGTGGTGTGGGGGGTATGAGTGCGGATATGGGTATGAGAACGCAGAAACTTGCTGCGAAAGCCGACCCAGGAGAACCGTCATGTCCCCCTCTCAAGATGACTTGCGTCGAGGACCTGAGTATGAGATATGTAATATAATAAAAAAATAACGGAAAAAAGGAAAGATGGTAGCGATGTGCAAAGTGTTCGTGGGATGGACAAGAGTTGAGAGAAATTATATAGAGGCGTGAAAGGGAAGAAATGATCTGCAATAGAAAAACAGGAATCGGGAGAAGAAGAAACGAAGAAGTTTGTCAACAAACGCCGCAAGGAAAAACGTAGTAGTGGTATATCCCCCTTTCGAGAAAAAAGAAAACAAAGTCTTTCAATGTTCAACACCGCTTCGAAAGGGGAAGGAGCTTGAAGTTGTGCTCCACCAGGCCGACCCATATTCTGTTGGTAACAATAACAAGGCAAGTTATATAGTACAGAGGTTTATTGTTGGTGGCGATGATCCAAGTTGAGTTCCGTTCCGTCAATGTGGAGTTCGGTTCGACGGACGGTGATCGCCGTGATGATTCGGTCCTGCGACGCTCGGGTCGGGAAAAAGTTGGGGGTATTCAAAGTCGAGAGGTATATCAAACGCACCGCAGCGAAGTCGACAGGGCAAATAGATAACAGGTAATAAGAAATGCAGACCAGACCGTTGAGTTATAGATGTAAGCGTGTAAGGTTGAAATAGAGCTGAGAAGAGGCAAAATAAGATAACAAGGCTCGCTAAAAACTCCGATAGGATCCCCAAGGTAAAAGAAACAGGTATAAATATATTATCAGGTTGTAGAATTGAAGTGTCGTTGAGTCATCTTGAGAGGGTTCGGCGTCAGGTATATAGTGGTTGCAGTATATGTTTGTTTGTCGTGAGATGGGGGAAAAGAGTTGAGAAAAAGCGAAGGGAGATAAGGGAAAGCAACTGGGCTTTCCAGGAGGAAAAAGACTACGGGTGTAGATCCTGCCACCCGCCGACGAAGTCGAATTCATCATCAATGGCTGCTGGGGAATAATTAGGAATGTGGGGGTAGTGTTGAACTCTCTTCGGTTTGATCGTCTGGTCCTTGTCGCGACGCCAGTCCTTGCTGAGCATGTATGGCTGGATGGGTAGTTGCTGGTGGCTGTTGTGTCCTCGACTGTCCTTTGACTGGAACTTCTTCTTGGTCCAGGTACCATGGTCGTACTGTGGTTCCTTGCGCCAGCTGGTAGCTTTGGACTTGGGGGTTGAAGCAGCACGGTAGTCCTTTTCAGGGGAATGGTTCATGCGCTTCTTGCCGAGGGCAGCCCACTTGTCCATAATTGCGTTCTTGGAGGGAGAATGACGAGCCTGTGGGACAGGGGTGTTGGTGCTCTCCCCAAGGATGCTGCGAGGCTTGGATGGCGTGATGGGAGTAACTGCAATGTTCTTCTTCTCGTCCTTGACAATTGGAATAGGCTGAACATTGAGCATGGACGATGGTTCCTCAATTTCGGACAGGCCAAGACCAGCAATGTCGGGGGTGTTGCTTTCCTTGCTCCAGGTACGGGAGTTCTGGGCTTGGCGGTTGCGTAGACGGGCCTCCTCGAGCTCGGACTCCTCCTCATCCCAAAGGTCACTCCAGCTCTTCGACACTTGGTCGGAGTTGCCCTTGCCAAAGACAAGAGACATGGATGGAATGGGGCGAGCTGCCGAAGTAGGCAGAGACTCGCTGATGGGAGCCGGGCGAGGAGCGTTGCGCAAAGCGGACTGGCGGGCCTTCATTGACTTGAAGGAGGCACCGAAGCCCGAATCCAGAGTAGAACCAATGGATGGCGAGACAGCGTGAGTCGAGTACCACGAAGTACCGTCCACCTCGGAGGCAGGGAAGAGATCCTCGCTGTAGCTCTCGGTGTCTGGAATGATGGAGAGACGACGAGTGCCTTGCTGAGGAGAGATCTGAAGAGCTTTTGCCCATGGGAAGGAGTCTCCCTGGGTGACCTGGGGCGTCTGGATGGAAGGGGTGCGAAGAGGCTCACGGTAAGCACTGGCAGCAACGACGTCACGGTCCTCGGTGCAGAAGTCGTCGAGAGACTCATCATCGGTGGTGAAAGTGACGGCACGCATGATGGACTCTCTCAGACCATCAAGCGATCTCTTCTCTGGGTTGAGAGCAAGCGAGTGTCTGAGCACCTCAAACGTATCCTGAGACATGTTTGGAAAGATATCGAAGAGCGACTGTCGGTCACGGGAGTAGTCTGCGAAGAGGATGTCTGACTCCGTGGGCGTGACAAAGGGGTTCTTTGCAAAGAGGATGTTGAGCAGACAGATACCAATGGACCAAATGTCGGCTTTGGCAGGGGAGTAGCCAGCCGCGGTGGGCTCGTACTGCTCCGGAGCCATGTAACGGTCACTGCCGACACAAGCTTCAAAAGACCAGGGGCTGCTCGTGGCCAGGCCAAAGTCACCAAGTTTCATCGAGCCATCTTGGCAAAGGAAGATGTTTTCTGGCTTGATGTCTCTGTGGTAGAGGCCCTTGGAGTGCATGAAGTCGACACCATCGATGAGCTGGAGCATGAAGTCACGTACGTGTTCAGTCTCGAGTGGCCCACGATTGTTGCGGATGGCCTCGTACAAGTCACCCATGGAGCAGTACTCGAGAACCAAGAAAACGTGCGACTGAGTCTCGAAGGAGCTGACGAGGTTGACGAGGTTCGGGTGCTGTCCGAGTTTCATGTGGCACTGCATCTCCTCTGAGCGGTCGTCAACGGAGAGGGGAGAAGACGAGTCCGCCGACGATGGCTTGGTGAGACACTTAATGGCTACCTGCTCTCCAGTGAGGGTGTCATTTGCAAGGAAGACCATGCCAAAGGATCCATGGTTAAGCGGAGCAACCGTCTGGAAACGTCCGTCGAGGAGTTTCCCCTGGATAAACTTGTCCCGCAAGCTTTCCATGTTAAGTAGCTGGACTTTGTGGTGAGGGGAAAACCGACGGAAGTAAGAGCCCAAGAAGCACTGGCCCTATGACCAAACAAACGCAGCAAAAGAAAGCAGAAAGGAAAGGAAAGAGAAAAGCAAGGACAAGAGTGGTGTGTGTCGTTGATCAGGCTGTCATATAAATGTTGATTTGAGAAGAGGAGAC